CAAGCACCATGACAACAACAACTCCGCCTCACAGCGGCCAGTTTGTTCAGCTCTCACCCAGAGGACAACCTCTGTGACAACAGAGCAGAAAGAGAGGAGCCTGTTTGTACACTGCTGATCCATGTTTCGAATAAGTTGAGTCTAATCATGCGTATCAACTGCACAAAACCTGCTCTCGTTTGAAGCAATGTTTTGCAGAAGAAAGTGAAATTCAGCGGGTCAAACAACAATCAAGAATTAGTGATTTGGCTGAGCAGAGAAACAGAAAATGTTGTATGATTTACTAACACAAGGACATAGAGAAAAAATATTTGAGCAAAGAGCAGCAGACTCTCTTATCCCTGAATGCAATGATAGTGTTCCAGCATGTATGGAAGCCTGTATCGGAAATAACAGACAAAAATCGATTAGAAGCAGTTTTATAAAATTAAAAAATTAGGATTAGTCAAAGTTTCGATGTCCACATATCTGACCAACCTCATGCATGGATTTCTTCCTTACCAGCAGGAGCATTTCCTGACAGAATCCCAAACTTAGGGCAGGAAAAATACCCTCATTCCTACTGCTTGAAATGCATTAACAAACATCAGCAAATGGTTACACATTGGCTACACAGTAGATGAGTACATACGTATTAACAACAATGGCCCTGATGCATGGCCCGATTCGAGGCCTGTCACAATATTATTTGTCCAAGTAATCCTCAAGCGTGTGGTGTCACATTATTTTTCTGCTCTAATGTCTGATATTTATGATTCCAGATCCGGCTTCCTTGTAAAGAAAACCAGCAGAGCCAATGAGAGCGAGCAAACAGGGAAGAATCCTCAAATGGATGTTGCATACTTTTACACTGTCGCGAGCAAAAAGCGCCTATACTGTCTTCTCATCCAGGATTACACACATATTCTTTTTCTTTTTCTTTGTTTCCGCAGTTGGATCACAAGAGGTTTTGTGAGTTACACACGGTAGGTGTGTGGTCTCATGCTCTGTCCGAAATTGCGTACATTGGATGGATTATAATGTTGGAAATTGCTTGAAACTGTTCTATTATCTGTGGTCTCCCACTTTTTTAGAATTCAAAAATTGTCTGGTGTGTCGCCAGCCTTACATGATCAGTCTCACTAAAGACATCAGGACACTTGTAGCTGTGGTGATGCTGTAAAGGCCACATCTGTTCTTACCCAGCTTACAAAAAGTAATCTGTATTTCATTTTGTCCTTCTGAGCGGCAGATGAGTAAAACAACAGCGACATTAAGGATTACATGTTATTTTGTCAGTGCTGTATTTTAGTGTGCAACATCCACCCTAAATATATCCATCCAGTCAGACTGAAAATATAAGAATAGCTACCCAGGAAAGCCTAAAAAATGTTTATATACATAGACAAAAAGGATTCACTGTCCCACTTTGTACAGAGCACCTTCTTTCAGTAGATAAGCACTTTCAGTTGAGTGTTTTTCATTTTAAATCTGGAACATGACGGAGCTTACTTTCATTACAGTAACACCCCCAACTGTGCCATTCCCCAAACACCTACCCCTTCATCCCTTGGTCATCCAACTGTCCGGCCAGTGGTCTATTTTTGAGGTCCACGTAACACCCTTCATGCAGTCACTGTCTGAGTGGTATCCTGGAGTTCATCCAAAGAATTCTGCCCTTCAGAGTTTTGGATACCTTTAGAGTGAATGGCAGACTGTGTGATAGGGTTTGTTTGCAAGCTGAGATGCATAAATAGGAAACGACTGAAGCCAAAGTCAATTAGACGGGGCATGTACGCAACATTCAGGGATGTGTTAAGAAACTATGAGGGGTGTTATGTTCTCGTTCTGGTTTGTTTTTGGCTCAGTGGCTCTCCGTCTGTTCCATGTAGGCCTGTCCAACAATCCATTCATGATTAATAAAAAATGAACCTTTGACCTTCAGACCGTGTCCACATCAGTCACGTGTCTCCTAAGTTGTGACTTAAAAAAGAATTCTTAAAAAGAAAAAACTAGCTGTCTCCTAATTCATGGGAAGCATCATCTGAAAGACCCTTCCTTCCTTAGCCTGCGTAGACCCATCATGCCAATCCGAAATGATGTCTGGTCATTGAAGGAATTCCTATTTGCGTACCCAGCTGTTCTCGCCCACCTTTTTTGTTGCTAAGCGTCCTTCCTGTTGCCAAGCAACCCAGTTTCAACTGCATCGAAACTGGCTAACGTAACTAACATCATATAACTTATTTCAAAGATAATAATAAGTTTCAAGGCATTTTCTGTTTGCTTTTGTTTAACATCAGCATTAATGCAAACTCATAAGATCAAGCTGAAACCAATTACTTACATTTAAAAGCATATGACTCTGATTCTTGAGAGTCCGCCATCTCGTTTGAATTGGCTAGTAATTCATCTCAGGATGAACATGTAAACATTATGAACATCTGTCATTAAACAAACAAACCAGATGTGTTTACTGCCCTTCACACATTGATATTCATTTTGTTGTCTATGATCGTTGCTGTTGTGTACCTGAGTTCTGCATTTTATAACACTAGCTGCCTACATTCACATGAGGCCCGCTCTTATTGAAGTGTTCCCATGTCAAGCATTGGCTCTAAGCTGTACATAAGGGAATGCTGTTTTTGGGGAGTACACAACTTCCTGTTTTGTAAGTTGTTCAGGTTCAGGTTCAGGTTACTTTATTTAATTTGTTTTATTCTGCTTTGCATTGCAAATGGGAAATTGACTGCACTTATGTTGCACTTTTCTAGTCTTCCGATCCCTCAAAAGCACTTTTACACTGCAACCTTTCAAACACACAATCATACACTGATGGTATATGTTGCTATGCGAGACAAGGCTTCCTATCTAGGACTTTTAAGTGCCTTTTTACACTGGCATGCAAATGCCCAGTGTCTGTGAATAGCCACGTTATGGGCATTCTCTGGCTTTGCAATGGTTTACTATTAGATCTGAAATGGTGCTGAAATGCTTATCTGGATGGAGAACACTCTGGGGATAACATGCCCTTTCAACATGTAAACACATTAAAGTGCACGTAGCCAATGAGTCAACCAGCCACCTTCTTAGTGGGTGTGTTGAATTCCTGGGGGACCCTTCCACCATTTGTTACCCTGCTGACCTTACCTTGACAATAATAAGTTCAGTGTCCAATCTTAGTTTTACAGTTCAGGCTTGGTCTAGGAATCTTTCAGTGTATCGGCTCTACACTTCAACAGAATTCATTCAATAATTTATTGACTGACCACACTAATGCAGGAGTTGCATTATGGCAGACTAGTTTATCGAACTCTAAAACAACTAAAGATCCTTCTTAAAAGATGTATGCCCAAACGATATTTGTTTTACCAAGATACCATTGCAAATGGGTGTGTCTACCAGAAATTGCAGCCATAAAGACTCTTCAGGCTGACCCACTGGCCTGTGATTTCCATGCTGCATGAACTATTTTGCTTTGGTATGTTCCAGTTGTTCAGTCAAACCACCTGTTACCTTTTACAAGGCTGCTGCTTATGTAATCTATGTAAACAGGGTATTTTTTTTTTATCTGTCAGAGTGACTTGTAAATGGATTCCCCTTGATACTGATGAAGAGGTCAACCTTTTCCAAAGGAACATTTAATTAGATTGAGAAGGTGATCTTGATCTAGGATATCCAGCAGCAGATGGCATTTTAACTGTATAAATGACAGAGAAAAACTCTATAAAAAGCAGATATTAGGGTAAAGACAAAGCTTGAAAACTATCAATAAGTGGGCATTGTTATTTTTGGCAGTTTATAGAGTGTGTTGAAGGAGTGCCCTGTGAGTCAAACTAAAAAAGCTTGAATTCTGAACTTTGGGCTGTTTTGACACCTGTCACTGTAGACTACGTACCTAAACTGCCCAGAAACATAAGCAGTCATCCTGCACCCATGTGACGGTGAACCATTTATTCTAAGTTATAACATACCAGAGTTATTATGGCGGGGTGCTGGCAAATGACTAAAGCATCACTGCTTTTCAAAATAGAATTATTTATTGTGTTTGTGATGCAGGCTATTGATAGCAGAGGATGTAAAGAGTGAGTGTTAATTACCCCGCCATTTTAAGACCATAAAAGAAGCTTGTAATAAGTTTAGTGTGACATGCCAGTACATGTGCTCAATTGTGACAGCAGAGTTCACACATGCTCTCATGCACTATTTTAAGGAGTAGTCTGTTGAGCTGCCTGCAGTTGATCCACCTCAGTTTTAAAGGCACAGAGCAAAGCTTGGAAATCCTCAAATGTAATGATTAAAATACACCGTTAATTATATGTATTATATGATGTAGAGTTGAGATTGATCAAATGGGTTATTCATACATAGTTAATCACAGACTATTTGATAATATATTCATTTTTTTAAAAGCTTTTTCAACGCCTGTGTGTTAGCACCTTGTGACTGTCTCTCACAAAGAAGCAGTTTGAAGACAACACATTGTACTCTGGGATTTCATACAGGCTATTTCATTCCAATTTTCTGAGATTAAATGTAAAAATTAAAGATTTATTGATTCACCGTGAATAATCTACAGATTAATCAATAGCCTAATGTTAAAGGTTTGTTGCAGCCCTTGTGTGACATTTTAAGAGAGATGTGCAGAGATAATGTTTTTTTTCTTTTTCTTTTGAAACAAAATTGCATTTTAATTAGTCTCAGAGAGAATAAATGATCCATGACATTATCAAGATCACAATAATTTGCTCATTCCACAGTTCATAAAATCTCCCACCAATTCGATACACCGCTTGATGATGATTGACATCGCGCTTTGGTACTCTCAGCCAATGAGCGAAGGCCGGGGGCGGGTCCTTCTGTACTGTAATCAATTGTGTGATCAACCGGAGAGCGTGTGTTCTGTTGTCCGCTGTACTGCGTGTTCGCTCACCACCGAGCGTGGACCTGTTGAGGTGAGCCGGTCGGTGTGTTTATCTCCTCACTGGAAGTGCGAAAACTGAGGGGAAGAGGAAGCAAGAGACATGGGGGAGAGATTTGTGGTTGTCCCGGTTGACGCAGGAGTTGGGGTCGCCGTGGAAGGGGAGTACTCGGACGGGGTTGTCTCTGACCCGGCACCGGACCCCGGCGGCGGCGGCGGCGGCGGCAGCAGAAGCAGCGGTGGCACGGTTGAGGGAAAGGAGGCGGGGGAGGACTCTGTGTTCGATCCTCAGGACCCTAACGCTGTGGTGCCGATCCTGGAGTACAACAGAGAGCCAAACAAATACGGTAAGGCAGCAGCCCGTTACAAACTCTACACATCTTATGTTGTGAATCTACTTGAGGATTCACCGAACCTGTAACACAGACCTAGCGTTAGTGAGTTTTAAAACAAAAAGTTGTTTTTACGCCTGTAAACGTTTCTCATCAGCCACAGCCAACTAAAAACACACTGAAACTTTAATTAAGGATTCATAAAAACGATGCTCTCGAACCGTCTGCTAGCTTAAAGTGCGTCTTCTGTTAAAACAGACAATTAGCATTGCATCATTTTTACATCACCTCCCAGAACAGTGTGGTTCCCAAAGTGAGACCCCAAGAGAGGGGTCAGCAGATGCCCTCCCCCCCCCCCGAGAAATAATACAAATTTAAAATTGTATGTTTTACCCATTATTGTAAAAAGAAGATACAAATTAAGTTCAATTTCAAATTAAACCATATTAGGGGTTGTAAATCAAATGAATGTGTTAAATACTGAACACAAGTTTGCACTAGACAGCAGGCATTTAGGCGTCTGCTGCACCTGTGTGTCTGTTTATTTAGTATTGTAAGTCCACTCAGTGTTAAAGTCTAGACATTGAAACTACTTTTTATTCTGCTTTTGGCCTTATATTAAATTAGTATAACATATTTGTATTCAAGGCTATATTGTTTCTTTGGTGTTGTTCTTTTGTGTTACCAGGGTTTGGATAGGTTTGTGCTCTACATTATTTACCTTAACCACCTTCAGGGACATTGTCGCGATCGGAAAAGCTTGGAACCCCTGTCTGAGAATACTTGCGTCAATATGCAGTCCATATACCCTAACCAGAAATAACAACCATTTCTTTGAGTTTCTTTTTTAATATTAAGGGTGCAAGCAAAGTCAAGTGTTCGTTTTCTTTTCAACCACACAGGGTTGTGATGTCACTAAAGGTTTCTGACACTTCTTTTGAAATGATGGCGATAACTCAATTTGAAACAATAGAGTTCAAAGAGAAAGAGAAACTTGCTTATTCCTTTTATTTTGAGTCTATTTAAGCTCACAAAGTTATACAGCAGCAAAGTAAGACATGCCAGTTAGTGTGCTGAAATGCAAATATGACACCAAAAACATGGGTTTTCTTACATTTAAGGCAAAAAGGAGTGAGAGCAGTGAGTTTTGTGCAGTGAAGTGCTGACATATGAAAGCATGAAGCCATCAAAACTGAATCAGCATTAAGAAACGAAAGACTCCACTTATAAAGACAAACCTGTTGACTACTTTCGAAGACAGCTGTTGTACTGGCATGGTTTGTGATGTTTTGTTACTTCTCTCCAAACTGCAAAATTGATGGTTGAATTGGATTTGTCATTTAGGAGGTGTTGGTGGATCCTTAGACTAGGTCAGTTGAGGACCACTGAGCTAAAGGATATTTCTGATTAGTTTAAGACATGATGTTTTTATGTATTCTTACTGTTGCTTTGTTATCATATTGTTTATGTTGCTAACTCTGAGCCATCATGTGGCTGAAGTCTCTATTTTCAAGCATTGTTTCGACCAGATGCCCACAAACAAGGTGCTTCTATAGCAACAGGTTGAGGTGCAGAAAGTGCTGGAATAATTGCCTGCTGGCACACAGGCCAGGCCAGAAGGCAGTGTGCTGAATGTGTGTATTGATTGGTGATCGTCAGAGCGCAGACTATTTAGTCAAACTGTGCTGAGCTGCTGGTTGTCGTTTCCTTTGAATGTAATTTGTTTGAATGAACATGGGTTAATACTTTCGACTTTGGCTCCAAAAACGTATCTTTTGAATCACAGCGAATGTTTTTTAATATGTCTCAGGAAGTAGGGAAAATGAGAGACAGGTTTCGGCACTCGTCCAATCAGTTTTCATGCACAGATTAAGTTTCATTCTCAAACCGATTGAGTTACCATGAAGAAGAAGATGGGCGTGAGCATGCACTAATGCATTTGGAATAGCGCATGTGAAGTGGCTGGGCTCGTCAGGTAGACAATGATAGAGTATAATGTGCTCCAGCTCTTATCAGCAAACATTTGAATCTCCTCTGAGTGTTAATGACATGTTGCTATTGTAGAAAGATACTCAAATGTGTGGTAGTACAATAGGAAAAGTGGCTTTTTCTCATGATGAGAAATAAGGAGACTTTCCATTTGGGTTTGATAACAATTGAGATAGACAAATCAAGCTGCAACCTCCGGTCTTGAAAATTGAAGTCAATGCGGAAGTGAAAAATCCTGCAGTTCATTGAGTGTCCGCTTGAGGTTGGCTCCAAGAACACTGGAAGTCACAAACACACAACAGGCAAAAAAAAAGCCGTGTTTACAGCATAAATAAACATGTTTACAGCCTGGTACAAAAAACGAAATAGGTCTGATTAGTTATTGTCATCATGGGCACACACTGTACGGGGGGAGATTTTTTTAAACAGCTCTATTTTGATTTAGAAAACGATAGATGTTATCCATAGCTAGGCGCGTAGCTGACATGATTGACAGGTGGGCACGATGTAACAGTTGTCAAGAGGCTTCAAACCCGCCTCAGCACCAGCTCTAAGCCTGTCGTTAGGATGAATGAAAGTTAGGCTGAGACCGCATTCAGAGCATGACGGCTGCTGCCGATGACCCTCCGGAGCCCCCTGCCTTAACAGATGGGTGACATCACTCAGGCTAAAGGTGTCTGTTAAAATGTACAGTCATTGAGACAAGTACATTTTAGTCACTAAGCCCCATGGGGAAATCTTTCCCTTTTTTGGACGAAACCCTTGAACTATTTTAAGGAGCAGAAAAAAACTCGACTGTATGTCTTTCTCAAAGGATGAGACTCATTTGTCTGTATATTTTAACTTAAATTGAGTATCTTCAAAGCTTGGACTGTTCCTTGGACTCTGGGTAATTGTGATAAGAATTAATGTATGTGATTACGGTAGATTTTACAGACTAACATAAATTGAAAAGTAATAAATCCCAAAAAAACAAAAAACATCTTTATGCACAAGGAATGAAAGCTTACTTTAACAGCTTTAAGATTTTACTTCTATTTAGTTCTTGTTGTTTCAAGCATGCATTAGTCACACCAGTATTTAAAAAAACAGGAGCATATTATTGATGATAATGAAAACTGGACACAGTGAGTCATACATCACCTAAGTACCTTATTATGAAATATTGACCTTTAATTTTGTGATTTATTTGCTCTCCTTTTTCAATTTCCTCAGTTCCCCGTACGACTGCAGTCTTAGTAATTCAATCAATGCATGACTGCTAGAAGGGAACATCTCCTTGTGTTGTTGTAATTTATTTACTCTGCTAAATTTAATGAATGGATGTTGGTATTGATATCCAAACACATGAGTCTGGATGATGTTAAGATAATGGATGGCGAGGCTCTCTTTCCATTACAAAGGCACCACTTTTTAGTGTTCTAGTAACAGAGGTGGGAAAAAAATCAATATGTAAAAATCGAGATTCTTATCTTCTGAGATTTTAAATAGATTCATAACTTCCAAAAATAGTTTTTGTTTTTTTCGGGGCTAATATGTCACTCCCTGTTAAGTTATAAAGCTAGCTCTTTAACTCAGTCGAATGCCAGATTGAGCAGCAAGAAATTCAGCCAGTCTCACAGATGATTGGATAGATCCTGAAGTATTTACTAATTCAAAAATAGACTTTAAATCATGATGCCAGAATTGTTTTGAATTGAAAATAGATTCTCAATCGAATCGTGACCCCAAGAATCGTAACGGTAGGGCTGGGAAATTTATCAAATTGAAATTTTTCAATTTCAATTACAATTTTGGCTTACCTCTATCATGAAAACAAGATAACCGAGATTGATCACTGTGCCACATGCTTTGTTGCACTCATTTTGTCCATAGGTTTTGTCACGTGTGACAGTATTTTGTCCTCTTACTTACTTTCTAATCATGACAACTTTCAAAAAGTGAAAGACGACACAGCCATTTTTACCTGCTGTTAAATTAAATATGTTTCCAGATTTGTATAACAAACAGCCAGATCTTGCCTTCACCTTACACTTGTATTTTTAGTTTCTTATCGTCAATGATTCTTGCAGTCAAAGTTCAGGTCAGAGCAAAAAGAAGATGTGGGCACCGATACTGACACGTTTACGCCTTGTGATTATACCTACAAAAGATCTTAACACAATGCCAGCAAGACCAGCTGAGGATGTGTAGAGGCGAGTCAGGTCTAATTCAGATCATGACACATTTGCGCCTTGCATTAACATGTTTGTCAAGATAACATGTCCAGATAGAGACGGTTAAAATGGTGTCATCGTACAGCTTCTAGTTTTCTGAAACAAGCAGAAAAATAATTATAAGTTATTGTTAAACAGTTTGTTTTAAAGAAGCGCTTTAACCCCATGCTCATCACAAGACGTTATGTGACTGACTCAATTGCTAGGGAGCGCTTTTATTGTGCCCTCCTTAGAAATATAATGTGACACCAATCAATTATTTTTATATTATAGCTGAACTGGGAAATAGAGATACCCTTGTCATTGAGGTTGCAAAACAAACTTGAGGGGGATTAAGAAACATATATTGAAAAGAGGAAGTGTTGGTCATAAACAGGCTGTCTGAAATATAACAGACATGCTCTTAAACTAAGCTTTAAGTAGATACGAGTAATGTAAACGATGTATTGGGTATATTCTCAGTAAAAACTTTCCCACCAAAAGATGTAAGACTATTTTATTAGGATATGAAATATGGTTTCTGGATGCATCAGTGGGCAGAAGCTTGTCACGGATATGCAGCGTCTCAGGGATTATATTTGGATTTATGAGAGATTAACCAGGCAGTGAGAGATGAGGTTCTTCAGGGAAATGACCGCCAAAAAGGTGTCTGATTTAAGCTCGATGCAACAGAATGCATAGAGTGGATCTTTCTTTCACAAACTGGTTGAGAAACACAGAGGCTGGTTTCTTCACAGCACAGCGGGCTCTGTACTCACACTACCTGTTGCAGCCAAGGCACTTTGGAAATGACTTGCGTCCTCAGTTAAG